GCCAGAGGTGTAGGGGTGGTGAAAGGATTGACTAGAGACAGAGTGGGGAGCAGAACAGGCAGATCTACTGAAATACACTGCTGAGGGAAGCAACGGGCAAGACAGGAGAGGTCTGCTGCGTCATGTGGGTCACCTCACTGGCCCTTGATTAAACTTGGCTGAGGTGGCTGTGGCTAGCTTCATAGTGCTGTGATTTAACCCATTGTGCCACCAGGGAGGGACCTCTTAATGAATTTTAATCCACATCTTCCTCTGATTTGGCTCTGGTTAATCCTGAAGTGCTGTAATTCATAATGCTTTGCAGTTAGCAACTATGCACAGCCTTTCATAGATTGTTCAAGTATTTTTTGTGAGATATTTCAGATCCTCTTTGGAAAAAGTCACCTCAGATGTTACAGTGATCTTGTTCTTGCTGAGTTCAGTGGTCATAATCCTTCCATTAAGATTCCCAGCTTTCTCATTCGCTTTGATTCTCTCCTGAAGAAACTGTTCAGAATTGGCAGCATCCATTTGATCTTCTACAGGGTGGGTATAGTCAAAGCCAAACTTAAGGACCTGCATTTTTGGGTCCTCCTTTCCAAGTTTTTTTTCTACAGTTGCAACAGTGGTAGCAGAGTCAGGAAGCTCACCAATATATTTTTTAAAGATTTATTTATTCATACAGCAATTGGGGTATAGACTAGAGGAGTGGTAGGGTAAGAGGACTCCTCAGAGACAGAGTGGGGAACAGAGCAGATGGATTGATTGAAATACCCTGCTAAGAGGAGGCAGGGGGTATGACAGAGGTCTGTTGTATCTTGTGGGTCAGCTCCCTGGCAGGAGATGGAATTCATGCTGTATTGACTGCCTGATAGCTTCATAGTGCTGCGCTTTAACCCCTTGTGCCACCAGAGAGGCCCAAGAACTGTCTTTCAACACTGAATAATATGCATTGTATGGATGTACTAGAGTTAAATTATTCACCTTGTGAAGGACATCTGATTCCTGCCAAGTTTTGGCAGTTAGGAATAAAGCTGCTCTAAACATTCAAGAGCAGGTTTTTTTGTGACCTACCCTGGAGTTTTTAGCTCTCACAGTGCGCCTCCAGCAGTTTGTTAATAACAGTTTAGGTTTTTCTACCGTGGCACTGGTTCAAGTAGTGGTTTTGTGCTTTTAAATCTGTTCTTCAGAAAACGATGAGTGGTAACAACGCACCTGCATAGTCATAGGTGAGCAGGACTGCCCCCTGCCAGTGCAGAGACTGAACTGATAATCTCTTTTGGAGGGGCTCATTCCTTTGTGGAATGTCCTGTTTGCTGTTGATTTTAGATAACTATGTGTACTCATAAAGGGATCAGAGATTTCACAATGGGCCAGTGGGTCCAATCTCTATATCTTTACCCTCAAGACTGTGCTTCCTACACTCCCTGCAGCCGTTTCATACCTGCTTGGCTTTATGCCTTGTGATAAAGCACTAAGCTTAAGGGTCTTATTTCTACAGTTGAGGTTAATGTTCATGTTAATCCCTTCTACCACCACCTCCTTTTGTGAGTCAGGCTTTTTTTTTTTTTTTTT